CCACGCACTGGTTACATGTATTTTACAATAGTTAAAATCTACCATTCATGGTTTGGGGGTAGGACTATCAGAGCAGACCTTAACTGGACCGGGAGGATGTACATTTGTAAGTACCCATGCCAGTACTAGTCTACACGTTCAGCCATAAGAGCCCACACAGGTGTGACATGCATCATATAGTCAATGATCACTTCCACACATGCCAAAACACGTTTCCTTGTAATAATACATGTACTTTCTTACATGTAATGTAAATTCAGCACTGTTACTTTTGCAGTGGTTTAATTTCATACAGAAGGGAAAAGGAGGTTTTCATGGTGTTTTGAATTTGCGGTTGAAATAATATTGTCAGTAGTCATTCATGGCAGACATATTTTCAGTGTCATAAATTTATGGTGAAGGGGTTAACACGAACACAAACAGAAATCTATTGTGAAAGTTTAATATTTACAGTACCTTAAGTTAGTGGTACACCTGGCAGGGTGATAAGGGAAAGGTGGGAATGGGAAAATTATTTTTTATGCAGGCCAGCAGTTTGTGCAACACATTTTCCTCCAGAAAATGATACATGTAATGTATTTTTTTTTAAATTCCAAACTGCAAATGTTTCTTACCATGACCATGCCTTTTGTCTCCAAATCAAGTTATTTAATGGATTTCTACTCCAGAAAATGAGGACAAAAAATATCAATACAAAACAATCAGATTGACCTTTGCAAGGAAGCTAGAGCTCCAAATGGATGAGGCTTCTAGAGGTTCTGGCTTATGCTTTATAATTATGCATTTTTTTGGCAAGTGGCCCAACTGAGGTAAAGTCTGATATATACAAATTGTACGTTTTTTGTACTGCACATTTAATACTTACAACATCATAGAAGAATTGAATAGCTCAGTGAAGACAACTTGCTACAGGTATATTTTTTTTGTACAGTACACTCTCCAAAGGGAGGATGTCAGAGCTTCTTCAATTCAGTGAACAGACACCTTCATTGGATCTTGTGGTGCAACCCTTTTTGTTGGGTTCACTAACACAATAATGGGTCCTGCTACCCATTTACACCCAATAAGAATAGCAATACAGGTCATTCCAATAGTACTTTTACCACAAGCAATAGAGCAATTTTGAGAACACAAGCCATATTGTGGGAAAGAGTCTCAACTAATGTACAGATAAACCCAATCACAGCATAGTGTTCAACTTGACTTACAGTAATGCTACTCTGCTTTCCTCAACTGACATCCTCATAAGAGGAAAGTCTACTACAGGCACATGTGTGTGTCTGAGTTTATATAGTGTGGTGTACTTTGACACCTGGACAGCTATTTGGAGTGACTTTCCACAACATTTTGATACTTCAAGGCATAATCAAACTTTCTAGGCCAAAACAGACACAATGTCCCCAAAACTGACAGGGACTTTGATCAAATTTACAGAACATTCTAGAATGACCTCCAACCACTGCCAGCAACTAACAGCCTATCAGTGGAACCTATAAATAATGGCAGTCAGCCTGTATCAAATGAAAAATTCTTTAGTCAAATCAAGCTGTCTGCTGACGCCAATTCCTCCACAGGGAAGCCGTCCCTGGAGCTGCCCATCTCTTACCAGCAGTGTGATGTACGTGTACTACTGAGCACAATTGCTGTGCAAATTGGGTTGGCTGTGAAAAATTTGCCATCGTCTATTTCCGCCGCTTTAATGGGACAAGCGCAATGCAACATCACTCAGGACACTCTCCAAGCTGTTGATGTCGTCAGAGAAAATCAACAGCTTGGAGAGTGTCCTGAGTGATGTTGCTTTTCAAAGTCTTCTTTGAAAGAATCCACAGTTGCCACATGCAAACGTGGAATTTCATTAAAAAGATGACAGGCAATTGTTCTTTATGATGAAACACTATGATCATATATTATTTTGAAGTAAACTAGTACATGTATGTGTCAAAGACAGATGGTTTGAGGAAATATTCAGATGTCCAAATACTATAGCTTATAATTCATACAGTCAGGTATCATAATTATCTTTTTTGTTCTTTATATACTTGTAGGCCCTATACAATACTGACTTTTGTATAGATCACTTTAAACCTGATATATGTGGGGAAGAGTTTTTGTATTGTCACAGTATGATACTGAGACATGTAGTGCAGGCAAAATAATTGGGACTGTCTAAGACTCCTCCGTATTTGTATCTGGCCACAAACAAACTCAATGAAACAACAAGCAGATCTGAATCAGCAAGTTTAGACATGTAAGATGTTATGCATTTAAATGTACAGACCATACCTATAGATTGTTGTTTTAGGTCAATAGAGGTGCAGGGGAGATCTGCCATGTAATTAACCTTTGGAATACCTCGACATACTCTTCTCCTACCAACTCCCCTTGGCCACATCCCAGACCTGATCATGACATATATTATTGATACAGTATGCCAGTATGGAATGCTGCCAAACAAAATCAATACACAAAGAAGCTGTTTCAATTGATCATCATGCAGAAAAAGGATAACAGTAAATGAGGAAGATCATCTACATTGTGTATATACATGTATATTGCATCTGTCATAATATTACAAGTGAGAGTATACATTGATATTTACTACCCTAATTTAGGTAATACTATCTTAAGTCTTTATCTATAAAGAAAATTGCTACATAACATGAAATAAAGACTAAAACTTTATTTCATAATGACTTGTGCCAACACAGATGAACTTTCATGCTATGCTATATAACTTGTAATGCCATATACGTAACTAAGAAAATTATATGGCAGATATAAAAGAACCCTCTGGACAGGAAAGTCCAAAATTGGGATCCTGTGCATTGAAAAAGCAAGCATTGATGATAGTATATTGTACTCTATCCAACTCAAGATAGCAAGATATGAATTTGAAAAGCTTACCTTCCATTTTCTTCTTGCATTGAATGTCTTAAACCTCTCCAGATTGGTCTTGGCCTCCTTGCGTTCTTCCTTCTGTCTGTCATTTATTGGCTGAAATTTAAGAAATAAATATGGTGGATAAAGGCTACAGTCCACAAGATATATATGTTTACAAGATATTGAAATATTGTCTTTATATTAGATAAATTTGCATTCATATCATTCAATAACCTTATGTTGCCATCCTTATTTAAGTTCATTTCAGATGGACTTCAGATGGCTATGTACATGTATATGAAGTTATTGCGGTATACTCCTGTCATTCTGCAGAAGAGATGTCAAGAGTCAAGTATCTTTAGAACTAGAATGTTACTGACACTCTGTCTCTGTTTGAAACATTGAACAATTTCCAAGTCAACCCTTAAATTGGATTGGGAGACAGGCCAAGCACACAGTCAGAGCTTAACACTCTTGCAGTATTATATACAGTGTTGTATACTATGTTAAGTGTTCTGAAATTGGATGTTCTTGGCAGCATCACATCCCATAACAGACAAACAAGCCTTTTCAAATAACAATTAACTCCTTACAAATCAGTATATAAAGTAATGTTCAATTAAATTGTTTGGGGGTTAATTGCCATGAAGTATGCATTCTGGAAAGTTCTACGCGTAGCTATATATTTAGAAAGAATACAAACTACATCAGAGACATGTGACAAAACATCAATCAACCAAGCCTGAAAAATCAATCTCAAAATACTCATTACCTGCATCACCAATTCATAACCCCTGTTCATCTCATACAGTCGCTCTCTCTCATCAAAGAACAGCTACACAAGAAGCAGGTAGGAGGGAAGATACAAATGTACAAGTAAAGACAGCATTAAGAGAAATACCAAAGAGTTACTTGTGAGCAAGCTTAATAACAAGCGACGTCCTTCTGCTCTTGCAGGATCTAAGTGACATGTGAATATTGAGCTGACACCAGCTTTGGGAGAGCATATTGGTCTTGAATTTGAATGGTCAATATTTGTTTCCAAACGAATCTCGATGACTTCATTTCACACAGCACCCCCTAGCAGTTTGTGTCATATTGCAGTAGAAATTCTGGTATTTCAGTCTGCTTCAACATCATCATTTTAGCGAATGAATTCACTTCTGCATTCTTGCAAGTATGGCTTGCTATATCACAACAAAGGAATAAAGAATATGCAGGAAATATACAATTGAGTTAAACATGCTTTCTTCTGGTCCTAAAATTGATAATCATAAAATCCAGAGATGGGAAACTGGATCACCTACATCATGTATTGTATGGTAATTTTGATCTAACTGGTCCTTAAAAAGCAGAAGGAAATGATGAAGCCAGCTTGTAATGGTCATTTAAATGCATTCACAGTGTCAAGTTCATATGGATGCCTTTAAGGATGCAAAGAGGACATTCAGTCCACCATTCTCATTTCAAGTGAGCCATTTCCAGGGTAATCTAATAGTGTGCACTTGTGTATAATGGCACAGCAATAGGTTGAAGTTCACAGCGGTATTTACTTGGCTTGTTCAAGAGGATGCCATTACGCCACACCAGTAGCACACTAGTGGTGTGATGGAGTGTTATTAGATAGGAAGAAGTTATGAAACTCAGTCATATTTGTTTTGAAAGTGGAAGGGCTGTTTCAAAAGAGGTTCCCATTTATGTTCCAAGTATCATAAACCCATTCCATTTTAATTGTCAAGTATTAACCTGCTCTTTTAGCTTCTCAGGTTACATACGAATGTTCGCCTTAGCATCGTTAATGCATTTTGCACAATGTTATAGTCTGCAGTTGGTTGTTAGTCGTGAACAGCATGATACAATGATGCAAGACGAGGGAAGAGAAAGCAGGGTAAAGCATGTCACATTTTGACACTCATGCTTGTCCATTTTCACTCTTCACTGCTCTGCATTAGGAGGGAAACATACCTTGATCCAAGGATGTGAAAGACAATCTGTCACGGAAGCTCTCCTCCTGTAAAACAATTCAATTATCTGTAATTAGGCCAGGAATAAAAATAACTTGTTGGTTGTAATACATTTATTTGTCATCGATTGTACAAATGTATTTTGAAAATTCAAACATCTGCAATCTTCTTTCTTTGATTTTTATATAATCCATAAAGGTTAGTTGCAAAGGACGGCGTGTAATTTGTATGATTGATTTGAAGTACTCCACAGAATTTACTACACCAATCTTTAAATTAACCTTCAATATGATAAAATGTTGAATGTGCTCATTATCCTATCCACTGTTCCCAATAACCCATTTAGTAAGATGTTGGCTGCATAACAGCATTTCAGCACCATGGAGAGTACCAACAATGTTTACACATTCCAGTTTTCTTAGTAATCAAACTATTCCTAAACAATTCACATCACATTGATTTCCTACAGAAATCACCAATGCTTGCTTGTAGAATGAAACCCTTCACATATATGTGCAACAATTTGCTTTTATATGTAAAGCTAAATTACTATGTCATTTGATGATAAATTCATAAACAGTACCTACTACTACTTGTATATATGGATCCTCTTTGGTACCAAAATTAAATTTGTTCTGCTGGTTATTTGGGGGGTAATGGTTAATCCTGGGTGTCACTTGATCCACTGGCCTCAATACTTTCCAAACAAGCTCGACCTTAAGGAGGGAGGGGCAGCTATGTACTTAACGATAAGCAAAGAAACGTGTGTGGTTTTCACACAAAACTGTGACTTAAGGAAATGTAGGTCTTATGGCAACTGGCCTTATCTACAATTGTGTCAAGTCTCTAACTTGCCTGTACCCATGTCCTTTTTGCACCTACATGTAAATATTAATCTTGGCCGTAGTTGATGATGAACCTACCCAGGATGTTTAACTAGTAGTCCCCTGATAAAATCCTTGGCAAGGTCACTGGTGTTCCCAAAGAATTCGTCATCAAAAGAGAAGTCCACAGCACAGATGTTTGCAAACGTCTCCTGTTTGTTATCTCCCAGGAATGGAGAGCAACCACTCAGTCTAGGAAAGATAGGAAAGCATAGTTTCAAATTGACATACTTAATGTTAAACTAGAGTTCGATAATCTCATACCTCCATGACATGTTTAGTGCTTTCGTAAAGCTTATGCATAGTGATGATCACATAAATGGCTTACATTTACAATCCTGCTCATTAGCAAAATTTTTATACAAATTATTCACATAGCCCCTACCTAGTAACATACAACACACTGGTGAAATCCTTACCATTTAACATGGACAACGTATGATATTGTTGGTTATATGCAAGTATGACCTCTGACATACCTTTGCCAACTCATGTTTGCCATCCAAGCTGACGAATTATACATTTTTTTACTGCCAATATGCAAATTATAAGAGCCCATTTGCATATATTATATCATTTGATCATATTCTCCGCCCAATGACAGGGTTATCTTAAGAAATAAGGCTATTCTAGCGTTTCCTCATGAATTATGCAAATGAGGTCCTGATTTGAATAAATTATGTTTAGTGATGTTCGCCTTAATTGAACTTCCAAGTATGGCAAGTATTAAATTCACAGCAGTTACCACCATAAAATTGTACCAATTTGCCATTAATTATGCAAATTAGGTCTTCATTTACATAATCAATATCTACCAATGATCTTGTTGTTCTCAATTACATATGTCTAAAGTGTTTCATAGCCCTAATATGGAATACAGCAGATTTATAGAATTTCCTCATTAATTATGAAAATTAGATCCTGATTTGCATAATTGTATTTTAATCATGTCAAGCATCAGCTACCTACATACCAAAAATCATGACGATCCATCAAACAGTTGTTCAGTTATCCTCTCTCGAATATTTTTAAAGAAACCATCCTGCAGTTCCAGAACAAGCCGCTAGGGGGCCCAAACTCATGTGACTTCTTCCCAAGCACGAGAGCTACCTATCATCCAAATTTCATGACCCTAGCATGTCCAGATCGCGAGATATCAAAACCGGAAGTTGCGCTGCAGTACCAAGGGAAGCCACTAGGGGGACCAAAATCTAATCATTTCCAGTTTTCGTCACACCCTACCAACACACCAAGTATGAAACCAATCCATCCAGGCGTTCTTGAGTTATCTTGTTGACCAACAGACAGACAGACGGACGGACAGACGGACAGATAAACGCAACTGAAAATATAACCTCCATGACACATTTCATGGAGGTAAATATGGAAGCAATGATTGAAATGTCTAGTCGTATTCCAATTACAAAGTATTTATACAACCAGCAGCACTGACCGAGATGATTACTTTTCTGAAGGTTGTATTAGATATGGAACAATTATACATGGTTCATAGATTACTATGAAGTCATACAATGTCATGTAATGGTTAAAATAACTTGAATAGCTCAATACTTACAGAATATAGGTTATAACACCCACAGCCCTGCATGAGGAATGGAAACCAAATACATCAGCAATGAAGTACAAAGTATGCTGCTGGAAATGCACCACAATACATGTTCACGATGAATCAAAGACTTCTTAGTCACTAGAAATGTGTCAATTCTACCTCCTTTAAGAATATAATTTCATATGACACTTACCACATGTCTGTGTAGAGCCCTAGTGGTTCGTATGCTATCACCTCAGGGGCTGCAATGTGACAAAACAGTTAACCATTGGAATTAGTCCATCAACTTCATAACATGACTATAGCATGACCACAACAATAATGGAAGTATAATATACCTGGTAGCAAACCTTCGTGCAAAATTATGTGAACATAAAGGAATGCAAATAACAGAACAAAAAAATCATGGCTTAACTTACCTACAAACTCAGGTGTTCCCAACATCTGGATTTCATTTTTGCCATCTTCTATTTTTCTGGAGATGCCAAAGTCAATCAGCTTGATTACCGCCTGGGCTCTGTTTGTCAGGAGTATGTTTTCAGGCTGGAAGAATGTTTTAACACATGATTAGCAAGGGACATAATCTGTTTCTCTGCTACGTAGAAGAGAAGATTCAAAATTCTTACTGCTTATCGCTTCAAAATTTTGTGGCACAACAAAATAATATCTTAATCTTCATAATGAAACCTTGCCTACCTTGAGATCCAGGTGTGCTATGTTCTTCAGGTGCATGTGGGCCAGCCCTTCCAGCACTTGGGCAATGAATGCTGTGGCTTCAGACTCATGTAGGACATCCCTCTCTGCTATAAAGTCAAACAGCTCACCACCAGAAACCCTGTTGGACACAAGTACATAATAAGAAAAAACACTTAAGCAAGGAAAGCTTTAATAGATTATTTGAGAAACATTTATACATGTACTAAGGAATTATAAGTAAAAGCTGTACACTTGTGCTACATGACATTGTATGTATACATGTATCTCAGAATACTAGCAGTGTAACACTGTAATCTATTTTTAGAGTTCAGTTTTGTCAGGACTTGCTTTCATTGACATTTATGGGTGCATCTAAACTTCCAGCGCATCATTAAATGATATCAGTACTTTAAGTATAATGTGATTTTATTACTAGTAAACTAACTTCCCAGACACTTGCATATACCATGGACAAGTGAACATATTTCGCTGTAATAGACAAAATCCTTTTCAAATACCACATGGGAAAATGCGCAAATTCAGAACAAATGTACATTATAGCTTGTATACTATAATACTATAGACTAAGTTAATATCTATGTTACAGTTGAGTTATTTGTAATGAGGGTGTAAGCTTCCCTAGCCTGGCCTCAAGATGATAAAATTTATACATGTGATTGCAATGCGTCTGTGGCTGATATTACAGTGGCATCATGCCATATATGATTCCATATTTTAGAGGTCTGATTCCATAATCTAGATACCGGGTAATTCAATATTTTACAGACTGCACAGTACGTGATTTTCTACAGCATCAGACCAAAAGCTATCTAGTATGTGGCTATTATATTGGACTGAATTATGAGACAATAACGAGAACGGATCAGAGGTTTCCAATAAAATGCCTTTCACAATATGGCTTTGGTCATCCTTTTATTACTTGCAAGACAATATTTTATTGATTGGTAAGGTACAATGTATTATAAAATTTAGTAAACACTAATGATTTTAAAGCATAGTAAATCTTACAAAATTCATGTTGCTTTCCAGTAGATATTTATTCCAAATTACTCACTACTCTGTCATGCCGTCATTCTTGCTGGCAACATTTCAGCAAGCTCCCATATTTAGTCCTGAACGTGTAATGCTGCAGTTCATTCACATGGGACTCTGTACAGAATTTTGAAATTGGAATAGTTTCCCTTCAGCAATTTAACTTTCCACATAGCTAAACTGACACCAACATGGCAGCCACAGATATTACTGGAGGATATGCATGTGAAGAAAAATTACTGGTCCTACAAAACTTACAGACTGAGTTTCTTACATAAGATCTTTTTCTAGAAAAATAACCCCTTTTCCAGTATGGAGCTTGAGAAAATGTAGGAACTGGAGCATTCTAAAATTAGGCTTCATGAGAGTGCAGTCATGGTTAGACCAGTAGCAGTTGCAGACTCAGAGCCACCTGTGGATTTATTATTTACATTTATAACTTAAGTCAATTTCATCGAAATGTCTTTTATTTCTTCTTCAATGTTGAAGAAAGAACTGTAACAGTTACAAGTGTCTGTCACATTCAATGAAAACACAAGTCTTGCTCCAGCAAAAAATTCCTATTATCAAGTCAAATGACTAGCGTGGGCAGAGACCTAAATCAGATAACAGGCACAGCCGCACAGGTCTAGAACGATATTCATGTCATGCATGGGTTAGATACCACTGATGCCTATCATGTGAGTGTGCGTTCAATTTTGATCATATTTATCTTCAAAATGCTGAAACATGCACATGCTGCTCATAAATAATTACAAAAAGAATTTGACAATCAATACAACCCTACATGTAGGTGACCAGGAAGTCCTTGACCTACCAAAAAGTGACAGATATAATACTCTGTACCATCTGTCACATTTCATTACTGTTAAGAAATACTCAATCAAAATCTTGAAATGTTTGCGGCTTTATTTTTGTGGTGACCTCTTCACTGCAAATTCATGGCACTACATTTCCTTTGTATGTATTACTACACTAGTTACATGTAATGTATAGTTCTATACTAGTACTACAGAATCAATGAAAAACTTAGACAACACTGTAAAAATCTCCTCCCCCCCCTCCGTTGCGAAAATAAATGAATTTACTGTAACAGGAAATTAGGCTCTGGTAATTGAGATGATTAGGGGAGATGGAGTTGCCATGTGCTTTCCAAAATACCAGTTGGTGCCAGTTTCACAGAAGGTTCTATATCAGACCTAGTTACTGGTTAGACATGTACAGTGGGTGGAATTCCTGTAATCTACATGACTCCAACCCCAGGGCTAAAATGTGACATTTCTGTGAGGAACATCCATTAGTTCACATGACATATATGTACCACAACAACTCTATGCTGACTCCAAAAATGTCAATTTATGGAATACCAATTTTTATCTTGGTAACTGAGTAAAATTAAGACAGTTGCTGATGTTCAATCACTTAATGAATATCTTATATTGGGATCAAATGCCATTCACTAGTTTTCCAAGTGTCATTCACTTGGAAGTCATATATATCATAAGAAGGCTATCAAGTGAATTCGTCATCTAGTACTAGTAGGATGTCTAACTTGTTGCCAAATTTCCTTCTTGGACACAGAACAAGAAATGCCATCATGATAAGAAGGGAAATTCTAGAGGAAAACTATCTGAGTCATTTCAACTTTCTACCAGACCTGATAAAATCTAGATTACTTCCTTGAAGACCTTTACTTAAATTTACCAAAAACAATCCATTGTGTCATTTTGGATGACATACAAACTAGGGAAACAGATGTATGTACATCGTACCCTTTCACCTATTCTCTAAAGCTGTTAGCACCATTTCCTCTTCACCAATAAACTCTTTCTTATCCTTCTTAGATGTATTTTAGCTATATAGAAATCTACCAGTGGTACTATTAATGTAAAAAACTAAAAAAGTACTTACAGTTCTAAGATGAGCGTCACATCTTGCTTGTCTTCAAATATATCATACAGTTTGATGATATTCACGTGGTTCAGTTCCTGAAGGATGGAAATCTCTCTCTCAATATCCTCTCTTCGTGCCCCTCTTCGACTTGTTGACGCTCGTTTTTTCCGAATGAATTTTGCTGCAAATTCAGTTCCACTTCTTTTGCACACAACTTTTTTTACAACCGCAAAATGGCCACTGCAATGAACAAGATAATACAACATGAAATGCAACAAATTTCAATAGCAGTTACAATAGATTACACAGTTTACTTTAATAAACATTACTTACAAGGTAGTCTAGCATGTCTTACCTGTTTGATGCTATAACAAGTAAAAAAAAAATACTAGTAGTCACTTCATTCATTTGTCAGTGTTATTTCAAAAGTTATATATACTGAGAACTGCTGATAGAAGCACAATGAATTTTATACACATGCGCCTTGCATCCCCTTCTTTTGATGCAACAAACAATTTTAACAAACGTCTAACACAACAGTTCACCCATAGAAATTACAGAAATTAAGTGCATGGTGACTCTTCCCTTACTTTTGGATCTTTCAACAACATCATGCATTATACCATTAATGACTACATACCAGTGGTTTTTACACCATCTACTGAACAGATATCTCCAAAACATGGCAAGGGATTATAGAGTTTACTTTGAGATTTGGAGTGTATAAGGATGTGAATATGCATCTGTTGAAACAGTGCTCCTCAGTATTCATTGCCTACCAGCTCTTATCCACTCTTTACTATTCATTACCTTATCTGCAGGGTGGTCTCATACTAACAAGTAGAGCATGAAGACAAGACAAGGGCTATACACAGAAATGTAAAGCAGGGTTTGGGTCATACACACAAGTCAATAAATGTTTAGACCATGTTCTAGCAAGGGAGTTATCTGGCAATATTTAGCCAGCATTACTGTTAACATTGTTGTTAATGTGTATGATACAATTGTGCAAGGGACCCAAAACTTTAATCAATTATTCTAGCATAAATGAGATAAATCAAGTTTTAGTACATATAAAATTATATACATGTTTATATATGTATGTATATATGTTTGTATATATTATATGTGTGTGTGTGTGTGTGTATGTATGTATGTATGTATGTTATAATGTATGTATAGTGTAAGTAAGTAATTAATCAGATATAATTAAGTAATCAGATCATATATCATTCCTTTTACCAGTCCTAACAGCTATTGACTTAAAAATTAGCAAGGGCCAGCCACTTAGATTTTATTCTTTGGATCTCAATTTCTTGCTCTGACCTGTTGATCTTTATGTATGACATAATAGTTTCACAAGTTGTACAGTATTGTAACAATGACAGATTGCTCTATATTGAACCTGGAATGATAACATGTACACAAGACATGATAACATGTACATTTCAACACAGAAGAAACTGACATTTCTAGCACAAGACAGCACAGTTTTAAATCCAGGGTGCTGAAATGCCATCAAGTCTATGCAACACAGATCTAAAGAATTCAAGGTGTCTTTGCTCCTAAGGCCATTCACACAAGTGTTTTCCAACCAAATCAATTTGGGCCAGGTACCATAATTGTTGTTGCAGTGAAGAACTCATTTCTTGAAGAGGAACACTGGGGCCAGAGCTGATCCATCATCATTTCTGTTTGTCTACCAATATTTGACAATGTTATGGCCAATTTGGGGTTGTGACCATATTCACACTCAATTATGATTCTAACATCAACAATAGTATACTTCTGACATACATGTAGAATATTACTATTTGCCAAAAGGAAGTATGGTTAAGAGGATTACACTGTTTGGATGTTGGCATTTTCCATCTCTTCAGCTGTACGCCGCATACTGTATGCGCAAACTGAAGAGCTCGCAGTAAACATTTCAATCCATCCACAGCCACCTTTTGAATGACAGATTCGGGTCAATTATGTTCAGGAAGTGAACAGTGTGGAGCACTTTACCTGCATGGTACATGAACAGAATTAGTTCTGGGGGATTAGAAATGACACGCTGTGGTGGTATACTACTTAAAGGCTCAGAGCAAACCATCAAGAGTTTACTTGGGATAAAATCAATGAAGAATGCTTTCTTTTCATGGTGATCAGCTTTCTGAGATGTTATTGACACAAGGCCTGTCACTCCATAATGTGAAGAACCCTGTACAATCTAAAAACTCCTATGACAGGCCAAGATGACTATCTAGCCTTTGCTTGTACAAAGCATTCTGATATACACTGTAAGCCTTTCTGAAAAATCATTTTAAACATTTACCACTTGGAGTTGGACCAGAAAAGTGGGCATGAAATTCAAATTTAGAACTGACCTGTATTATAAAATTGGCATTTAATTAACTTATCATTAAGTTAATTAGTGGAATTGCTCTGACAACTATTTGCAACCTGAGTGATTGCTTAATTACATCTGGTCCAATTGGCACCTTAGTGTTTTTACAGCAGAAATGAAAAAAGGCGTCAAGATGGCATTTTGTCTCCAACTCTGCATATTTACCTTTTACAACACACATAGGTTTGACATTATCTCTTCCTCCCAAAATTTAAGTTCTTTTTTGTGCATTCCATTGCTTTTCCCTGTTATGTGTTTTCCTGGCATGGCACTTAATACTTATGTTGATAGAATTATCTCCAGATGGCCAGACACACATCATGAAAAGATGAATGTGTCCCGCACAAAATTGCATTTTCTCCATTGATTCACATAATTCACTTGGTCAGTTGGGAAGCTTCAAGGGCATCAGTATGACAAGAAGTATTTACAATACGTGATTACAGGGACGTGTAAATAGATAAACTGATCCGAGATAATCTACTCATTTCATGACAAAAATCTACCTGATATTGTAGATTTCATTGCAAAAAGGAAGTATCCAAATCTCTCTTCTCCCTCAAAATATCATAGGTCACAATATTTCACAATAATAACTGTTTCTAATTCTATTGTTTGCATTGCATTATGAATATCAAAATGCAGCACAGACCGTTGATTGTCTGTTATTGTATCAGTATTTTGCATGAATGATAAGGTGTAACAGTCCCTATGGGACCTTTCCATACCATGCATATGAGGTAATCAAATGACTATGCTATGAGTATGACTGTGCACTGAACTTTCTTAACCCGATATATTCACATAGGCTATACTGGCTGCAGACTACATTCAGTCTGTGAATTTATAATATTTTTTATGCCAACGGACCTGACTGACCAAAAAAGCAGGGAAGATGAGGCAAAAGTATTTCAGAGATGTTATCAAATTTAATTGAATGTCGTAAATTTGTACATGGAAAATTTAGTTAATACATTATTCCATTTTTAATACAAATTTATGGTTCATTGACAATTATTAATTCATAAATTATGGTTTTCTGAGTGGGGCTCTGTATAACATTACAGTAGCTATATTGTTGATCAAATTTGGTTAAAAAGACAAAGCAATACATAAGACTGCTAATGGAAGGAAGAAGCAATTGTGTGGTATTACAATAGGTGTGGTCAAATTGCTTTGTTTTCCATTTGGGCCAGTTGAGGGCATATCTGAGCACTGGAAAACAACATCCTTTGGTTTTCTTTTGGCAAATGTGTGTTGCTGATAAGTGTAATCAAATTACCAGCCGTGCAATTTGACAAGGGGTACATGTATGGGCAGTAATTAAGTGTACTGTCTGTATACTAGTGAAAAGCCTTTCATGGTGGCTTAACAATATAAGAACAGCCAAGGACATTGGAACACAGCTGAGCATTTGTTGTGCATGTAACCTCTGGCCAGTTGCTTGGAACATTACTTCCCAGTACGTGACTGTACACAGACAGATATCTGAGGAATGGGCCAGGGTACCGTACCCAATAATAATGCTCCATCCCTGGAGGCATGAGGGCCTTATTTGGGTCTGTTTTGTTGTAGCCAAACTGTGAACATTGCTTCTAGCCAACACTTTTACTTAACTACTCATATTCAAACAACAGGGGCGTCGTTATTGTCATCTCCCAAACTGTTACAGGGTATTTCTGCCTCAGGAGCGAGCAAACGACTAAAAGGAATGTCAGATATTTCCACATGGTGGGAGGGAGGGAATGACCAGCCTGAGTTGGGGGTATTTTTAGGTGTAGCCTCATCAGCTGCTCAGTCCCTCCACACAGCCCTGTCACCCTTGCTCATGTGCCCACCATTTAAGATTGGTCCTGTTATTGCAGCGAATGGAGTCAGCAGTAGGGTCAGATGATATTGACCCTGTCTGCAGTATGCATATACTTGAACTGTTTAACTTGCATAGACGTACATGACCCTGACCATGCATTGTAGCAACCCGCAGCACATGAACTAACCATGTATGCCTGCAAACTATTATATGACCAGGAAGGGAAAATGAAACTGGTATTTTCTTTCATTGATTTCTTCCTGGAAAAAAATCTTTAAAGAAGATGAAAGCAAAATTATGCAATGTAATATTATCGGGATTTGCTGAAAAGTCAAACTTTTTTCAAGGTTTCAAATTAATATAGTTGATATCTTATAACTTAATATCGTAAGCGATACATACCTTCCTATTTCCTCTCCCACGATATACCAATCCTCCACCGGTTCGTGGCGATAGGGCGATGACTCCGTGTCAGACATCTTCCTCGGGGGGTTCCTCTCCCAGCGCCGAGGCAATCATGTAACGGTCCCGATAAAATCTCGACCTCAGTCCCGCGAACACCGGTCCAACAGAATACCCCAGTTGCTGTGGTACGAATATCACTCGGACTCTACAAAGTACGCAAAAGTAAACACACGTGAACAAAGGAAGAAAGAAAACACAAAAGAACATGCATTCACACGGCCACACTGACAGAGCAAACAAGCTACCGCGCAATGGCAAAGGGCAAACATGGGGGCACGGGGAAAAAAATCGTCTGCAACATTTTTTCCCCACAGTCGGAAATATATTCCGTCACTTAGAGGCCGTTTTGGTCTAACCTGTTTCTCAATTCATGTTAAAAACCAAAGGACAATTGAACTCAATTGTATATCTTTTTACAGACTCACTGGTTTGGTGTAGATTTAAGGAAATATTACCTCCTTTTCCGACGTGAACATCCATCTCGCCCGCCATGCACCCAACACACGTTCGAGCCCTGATGACGTCACGATAGAACTTCCCAATGATATATGCAAATAAATTGCTCGTTGTTGAGAAAAAAATTCAAACTTCTATCATTATGAATAGAGTCCAATTTTTCACAAAAAGGTTTTATCATTTCTGACGAATTTTCCCCACAAAACTCCTTTTCAAAACACTGTCCAGCAGTGACCCAAATTTCCCGCGAAAAAAGGGAGAGTGAAAAGGGGTCATAGGTTACATCAACCATCATGGCGGGCGTCTACACTCCTTTCGTTTATTGGGCACAAAGAAAGGACAAATTGTCCCTCAAGGTGGATTTGAGAGACGTTTCGGTGAGTGCAATAAGAAGGTGATATGATAGAGGACAGGGGTACCTAAATTTTATGTATTCCTATTCTCTATTTCGTAAGTATTGTTGGCGATTGTTCCTGTTTCAGAAAACAGGAAGTGTTTTCGGTTTTGGTTTT